AACATCTCATTTGCCATATTTTTGTTTTAAGTTTTTGTCACCAGTATTACCATCTCAGGCAGCTATGCTATTTAAACAATTGCTACTAGTTGTTTCCAACAAACAACCTGTGGCTAAGGCTTTTCTCATTGAGTCAGGTTAAATAAAGATAAGCCCTATAATTGTGACTTTTCTATGGAGCTGCCAGACAAATCAAATAGTTACAATTCTCTGAAGATGGGGTTTCTTGGTTAACTCCAAACCTATCTGGGGAAATCCTAAACTATTCCAGTGGTTGGTTTTCATAGTCATTGTGGCTCGAAGTTACCACAGAAGTGGTGAGAGAGAGATGGAATCAGGACAAGTTAAAACACCACAAAGCTTATTATTCTTACAGAGACTCAACCATTGTTCTTCAATACATGTTTCTCATGTATCCTAATTAATCCTTTGGTTAATTTCTGGAGTTTTGGAAAAGTTGATTTTGACAATTCTGTCCATTTGCTTTTATGGAGAATCAGATCTATGGAGACCCTTACTCTACCATTCTTGAAATGTTTCTCCAAGATTTCTTTTAGTAGAAAGTAGGATAAAGCCCAGCCAGTGTGGCTCATTGAACAGAGCATTGCCCTGTGGATTGAGAGATCCCAGTTCAATGCCCGGTCAGGGCGCATGCCAGGTTGTAGGCCTGATCCCCAGTAGAGGGTGTGCAGGAGGCAGACAGATGTTTCTGTCTCTCCCTCCCTCTCTAAAAAAAATAAATATATAAAAGCCTATCTTTTAAAAAGTGGGATAAAATGTATTTCTCTTAAATTAATGCAAGCAGCACATACTGAATTCACTTAAAACATTAGACAGTCCACCTATGAGATACCATCCAAATGAGACTCATTTGACTTCTCAAATTTCATAATGTCAGTACTGCTTTCCAAAGACTATGTTACTAACCCTCAGTAAGAACACGGACTATTAGAACACCAGAGTACAAGTTGAAATCTATCTGCTTTCCAGCTCCACCTGAGCAAAGAGAGTCTAAGGGACAGACTGTCCACCAGTGTTCTCATACCTTCAGACCCACAGCCAATTTTTATTACAAATATTTTTAAATGCCCTTTTTATTATTCTAACACACTTATAGATGGATTAACAATACAATTTACCTTGGGCATTTTTTTTTAATCCTCACTTGAGGATATTTTTCCATTTATCTTCAGATAGAGTGTGAGGAGAGAGAGAAACATCAGTGTGAGAGAGACACATCAATTGGTTGCCTCCTGTATGACCCTGACCAGGGTCAGGGATCAAACTGCAACCGAGGTTTGTGCCCTTGACCAGACTCAAACTCATAGCCCTTTGGTCCACGGGCCAATGCTCTAACCACTGAGCAAAAGTGACCAGGGCATAGCATTTTTTAAATCAATGTCTAATATAAAGGAGAAATAAAAGGAAGCAAATTATGGAAATATGTAATTCGTATGAAAATAAATGGCCATGACTACTGAAGATTCAATAAGGTAGTCAGATGCTTGTATGTGTACATATAATTACCAGGAATGTGGCCATCACATGTGCAGACTAATGCAGCTACAGCAATTCTCACTTGCAACTCAAATGCCATGAGCAATGTTGCCACTAGTGAGTTTTCAAAATGGTGAAAACCGGTTGGCACAGCACCAAAGAATACAACCTTTTCTCACTTGATAGTTGCATTTTTTATAAGTATTGCAAATCTGCAACAACAACAAAAATATATAAAATGGGAGTTTTTATATGTAAAATGGATTAATAGTCTAGGCTCAGATCATTATTGTGAATGCTCACCAGCTAGAGACCACGAAGAAGAGATCTGTGGTTGAACCAAGTTAGGTTTATTAGTACTTTTTGCACAAGGGAGACCACACCATGGATGTCTCAGATTGAGGGTGTTAAGGGCTTATCATAAGATTTGGGCCTATAGGTGGGCCTCGGTGATCTTAAGAAGGGTTCCATGAATCAGTTGGATTGGGTGCTTTCAGAAATTAAGCAAGCCTATGAGTAGCATCTTAATAATTTTTATCTAGAAAATAGGAAGAGCAGAGTGCCCCAAAGCTGTATTTAGTAAAGCAGCAGCAGTCACTCATGTAAGCCAGGAGAGGGGATGGTCTGGTCTTTTTTTGTGGTTTGCATAGTATTATTTCTATACTCCATCATGATCACAAGAGTGTGCTTATTTTTGTCTTGCTCCCTCATGATCGGAGTGGCCTTGCCAGATGTTAGTGTTGTATAAAATTGTTTATGTTCGCCCTGGCCGGCTTGGCTCAGCGGTTAGAGCGTCGGCCTGCGGTCTGGAGAGACCCGGGTTCGGTTCCCGCTAAGGGCACGTACTTCGGTTGCAGTTTGTCCCCGGCCCTGGTTGGTCGTGCGGGTGGCGGCCACTCGATGTGTCCCTTTCACGTCGATGTTTCTCTCTCTCTCTCCCTTCTTCTCTCTCCCTCCCACTCTATCTGTACAAAAATTGGAAAAATGTCCTCGGGTGAGGATAAAAAAAAAAAAAAAAAAATTGTTTATGTTCAATAGAACACCATAGCCTGGCTGTTGGGACAGGTCAGCTTCCAGGGGTTGCTTTTTACTTCTCATCATAAACAGGATTTTCATGTGCATACTATTAACGAGATATATGGAGGTTATTACAGATGCATGACAATTTTTGGTCCTGTCCTATGTTCTGCAAGTGCCTGGCATCCCTAGGCTCCACCCACTAAAATAACCAATCATTGTGTTAATCAACACCTCCCTCTCCACATTACAAAACACCCTCCCTTGTGAGTGGCACCATCCCTCTGAGAACCACTGCTCTGAATATTCTAAATCCAACCCCCTAATAATATTAAAGTAAAGATACATACTTAAGAATACATCAGCCTATGCCCTCAGAGAACTATCTTACCAGTTGTGCTTTAGTGGCTTTGCATCAAAAGTTGGCTTTAAAAGGGTGTCTAGATCAAAGGCTATTTATCTGCTGTAGAAAGAATGCCAAGAGCGTTAGCCACAGCAGCTGGTGTCCTCCACAGAAAGCCCCACGAGATGTGAAAGGCACTACCAGGTACCTACCCAGCGTCCCTTTCTCTTTTACCCACTAACAAAATCTCTTTTATTCAAGGCAGCAATGTGCCTACCTTAATAACCTGTTTCCCCAGACTTTTTTACCCCTGGGTGACACCATTTTGGCTAATGAAATGTATGTAGAAAGGTCTCCTGTGATTGCTCAGAAAGCTTTTGCTTTTCTGATATAAGGGAACATATGCAATCAGAGCCTCTACTTGTCTTCCTTACTTAAAAATAGAAAAGTCAACTTCAGCTGTGACAGTCATCTTATGACCCCGAGACAACGAGCACAGGGACAATAACCTGCTTTCTAAGGAACTATTTAGTAATTATATCAACACCAGCAATCACTACTTTCAGACTTCCTTTGTTGAAAAACACACAGACCCTTTTTTTGTTTGTTTAAGCCATTATTTGTAGGACTTTACTTGTTGAACAAATTACTAATAAAGGCAATTAACAGTTACAACAGATAACTGATAAAATTAAAAAATGGAGGTTTATGTTAAGCCTTTAATATTACAATCAACTGGACAAAGAACAGTGCTCAAACTATATGTGGGGAGAGAGGCATTTTTCATAGCAAGAAGTCAACAGCTAATTATCAGGTTACTAAGTCAAGAAACAGTGTAAGCACAATTAAGCATATTATTTAGAGGCACAGAGGTAAATATCCCAAAATATTAAAATTAAGCAGTTGAAAATATTTGCTCCTGGAGAACAAGACTGAGAGTGAATAAGATTTGCATTTCTTTGTCGCCTTCGGTACTACTTGACTTTCTGACTATGAGTGTTCTCTTTCTTTTTTTTGTAAATAACTGTAGTGGGAAGAAGTTACATATGAGATTCCTTGACACTAAATTAATCTTCTTTACGAAATGATATGCTTCTTTCTTTTATATGTAGAACAATATAAAGGTTTCTGCTTCTCATAAGAATTAGATATACTTCTGATTTTATTTGTAATTGAAAAGTATATTTAACATACGATTTGAGACTGTATTCTTCAAAACCAGGAATAGACTTTGGTTTCACTGTTCCTAGTAGTGGCTCCTTGAAAACTGGTAGTTAGGGCTGAGAGGGGGGTTCCAGAACCCCCAATTCTGTTTCAACTGGAGCAGCTCTGCTTTATTTTACACACGCACACATGCACACACACACACACTAAGTTTTGACACAAGACTTAAAATAGTTATATCTATGAAAAATCACTGCACTATGGCAAAAGTTAGCACAACTGAATATGTATTTACTGAATTATTGTACCTTAAATACTACACTAATGCAAACAATTATGGGGGATGCTAAAACTATACTATATCAGTAAGAATTCAGTTATACTCTAGCAACAGAAAAGCCAAAACAATAACACTTAAACAAGATAGAAGTTTGTTTCTTATTTTTAAATTCAGATAAGCAGTTGGGGGTTGTTATTCCCATGAGAGAGAACTCAGTCTTCACCTTATTTCTCTGCCATTCACAAAATGAATCGTGTTTATCCCATTCCAAGTTCCACCTATGATGTCCACATTTCAGCTAGCAGGAAAGAAGACAGGGGAGGGGATGGGCATGACCCACTCTTTTAGGAATACTTCCTGGAAATGTACCCAGTGGCCAGAACTCAGTCACATGGCCATGGCGAGATGCAAGAAAATCTGAAAAAAGCTGTCTTTGTTGCCATGTCCCAGCAAATAAAACATGTAGAAGGGAAAAACGGATACTGGGAAATAAGCGGTAAATCCTGCCACATGCATATTCCAAAACTTGATTGACACTTGGTTTTTAAGATTGTAGGTTCAAATAACAACATAGTTATATCAAAACCTATACCAGTCTGTCCCGTTAGACTCTTAACTCTACAGATTTAGGTTAGACCTTTCAAATTAAATAACATGTCTTTATGCGGCATCAACTTTCCTCACCAGATGAACATAAGTAAAATGGCAAACAAACACTTAATAAATGAATGAGTTAATAACTTAATGATTCTTAAGAAAGGAAAAGACACTACAGAAAATATTTCCTGATAAGTATTCCTATAATCTGTGTTTTCTTGGACAAGTCACTCAATAACCTGAAGTTCCATTTCATCATCTGTACACAAGCATCACACAAAACAGGTCTGTCATGACAATCAAATGAGATTACACGTGCCACGGTGCTTTGTAAACAGTAAAGTTTTATACAAATATAAAGGTATGCACCTTCAAAGCTATCACTCCAATAAAGACAATTAAACAAAACATCTTTAAAAATTTTTTAACAATGTATAAATACATTGACAAAATAATCTGTTGATTAAGAGTCCAACAAAGTTTACAGTATATCTACAAGAGAATTTACAGGTGTCTAACAGTTGTAGACTGTTACATATATTGCTTTATTGCTTTTAAAAAAATACCATTAACACAAATGCATGATTTACAATAGCCCCACTGTAGCAAGGAAAAAAAAGACTCATAACATAAAATGTATATCAGGCATTTATTATGCCAAGTATTTAAATGATTATTCTTACTATGACATAAGAATAACACTCCTTTCGTGGTAAAAGTTTTCATTAGGCCCAGGACTACTGAAGCTCCACCAGGAGGCTCCAGAGTTAAACCAAAAATAAATAGAACAGCAGCAATCTCCCAGTACCCCTTACACATAAACAGAAAGTTCATTTATAGTAATCGGACCTAAAATACATGACTTCTTATAAATAAAAATAAACAATGTTAGAAATTAGTTCATGCTACTGATCCAGATTTGACTTCTATCTACCGTGAATGCCTAGGATAAGAAGTTTCATCATGAAGTATATATTAAGTCGTAAAATTAACAATTACTTCTAACTTATACATAAGCCAAAGTGCACACTCTTACCATGGAAGCAAAACTTCCTTTTGAAAATAATCTACAGAAATATATAAACACATGGAATTTTAAGATGAGATTAAGAACACCCTCCTACGTTCCATGGATCAAATGCAAAGGTCTTCATTCCACATGTACACAAACATAAACACTTCCATCGAGTTACACTACATGGATATTCCATGACTGTGCATACACATACACCATGAACCAAATTCTGACAATGTTTCTAGCAACACCATATTTTCAAGCCCCAAGTACTACAAAGAAAATAAAAATTTAATATGAAAACTACTTCTCCTTTTTGTTAAAGTAAATTTTAAAATGAAAAAAACAAACCCAACACTCCTCTCTGCAACATGTACTGTGTTCTAAAGGGTTCAGAGTCAAGAATTTCTTCAGCTGTTCCCCATATAACAGAACACACAGGCTTTCTCCCTCTCTTCAGGAAGTCTGATCATCTCCAGTGTTCTGCAAAAGAGTAAGAACTCCTTAATAAAGGTCTTTTACTTAATTTAGACTTCAAAGCACTATGAGAAATTCTGTATTTGTAAGCCCAGCCATCTACTACATTAACATACAGTCAATGGCAAAATTATGCTAGAAATTACAAACATGCTGGAAAAGCAAATCAATGGATCCACCCACAGGCCCATCAAGTCGGTCTCACTGTAGCAGAGCATCACCAGGTGCTGTGCAAATCCACAAATCCTATCCATGTTATGTCAGGCTCAATATTCAATTTCACCTGTACTCAACGTCCATCCCCACTTCAGAAACATTGAAAATCCTAATGAAAAAACCTCTTACGCACACACTTGACAATTACTGTAAGGTGGACCACACCAAAGGTATATTGACACTGCAAAAACCCTCAGAAGGAAAATCATGTCCCTGCAACAACATTAGTTTTCTCTACTTCTTATCCTTTATATAAGAGAAACTGTACAGTAGCATGAAAAGAACAATGAATTTCAAGAGAAGAGAACTAGATTATGCCCTACTTTTACACCATGTATGAGCTGTATATTCTTGAGTAGTAACTTCATCTCTCAGGGCTTTCGTTATCTAAATGTAATCCTTGGACCAGCAGCATCAGCACTCCCTAGGAACCTGTTAGACATGCAAATTATGAGACCCACCCAGCTCAACTGAATAAGGAACTTTGGAGGTGTGACCCAGCCACCTGTGTTTCAGCCCTCTTGGTGATTCTGAGACATATTCAAGATCAAGAACCACTTTCCAGTACCATACCACTTGCCCAACCTACTGCATGAAAACAAAGACCTAATCATTCTTCCCAAGAGATTTAATCAATCTATGAATACTACTTATGACATTGAAAACCCTGATTTAAATATTCATACTGGGGAGTTGTGGTAAAACAATATGCTCTAAAAAAAAAATAACCTGAGAACTTTAAAACAATCTTTAATTATATAGTCTTATTTTGTTTCTACTCGTTTTTACTGTATGAAACCTAAAACCTTACAATATCATTCTTCAAAACTGTTAGGGCCACCAGAATTAATGAAAAATAACTGAACTTTTCTTAAAAATAAGTTATTTGCAATAACTTATTTCTCTCTCTGATTTTAAAATAGTTCAGGACACTGACAATAAATTTCTGGAATGTCCTAAAAGTCTCCAAAAGTAATTAAAATAACTTGATCATCATCATCTCACAAATAAATACGTGCCTTAAAAAACTTTTTCATAAGTATTTCATAAAAACTGAATTCTGGCCCTGGCCAGCGTGTCTCAGTAGTTAAAGTGTCGGCCAAAATGGGTTTGATTCCCAGGCAAGGGCACGTAACTGGGTTGCAGGTTTGATCCCTGGCTGAGGTCAGGGTATATGCAGGAGGCAACCAATCGATGTCTCTCTCTCACATCGATGTCTCTGTCTGCCTGTATCTCTCTCTCCCCCCCCCTCCTCCCTCCCTCCCTAAAAATCAAAGGTAAAAATATCCTTGGGTAAGGATTAACAACAACAACACAACTGAACTCTGTAAGAGTCAGAAATCATTACATTAGTCACTGACCACATCAAATTCACCCTCACAACCAGAAAACACTTACTTGTCTTAAAAACTGCTTTCCAAGGTAAGATGTAGCCATGCTGGTTAAATTCTTTCTGCTGCCCACTTTACACCTGATGTAGCCATATAGATTGGCACCTTGTAGCACCACACCCATGGTAACCACTGCCTGGGAAATAGAAAAATAATCAATGACTACTAGCCAAAAGTTGATTGATCTTTATCAACGCCACAAATGAGACCAAGCAGAGTCATGGGGAAGAGAAGGGAAAGGAAGCTTTACAAAGGGGATCTGTGTCATTAAGATTCCTTCACTTGCCGGAACAGACTTATCCAACATATGCTTTACACAAGGTGCTGTATCACCCACCTAACAAATATTTATTAAATACATATGCTATATGCCAGGCACCTTGTAGCCCCTGAGAATAAAGTGGGGGGACCATTTTCTATTTTCCATGTGTCTGTGTGTAAAGATGTAAAAAAAGTAAATAAGACTCAGAAGAGGCTCAAATGTTAATTATTCCTTTAAGAATTAATTACAAAATAAGGGTCAAGAAACAGATCAAGTTCAATAGACGGAGTGCATGCAGAGGTAACTGTGTGCCCTGTGCTAATGTATGTTTCAACTGGCTTTTAGGAGAGCAAACTGCAAGGCACAATCAAAAGGTGTTTGTCTTCTGAGACAGAAGAGTGCATGGGCATGGGGTACAGCACCAAGAGGAAATGCACTTCAGTAGAGCTGTTTCTTCCTTGTGGCCACACTAAGATCATTAAGGATTAAGAATAAGAAACTTAAGCCTACCCTTAAGTATTAAGGAAATGAACTTAATTAGGACAGAGTGCAGGAATCACATGGTCAGATATTCTAGACTGAGCTGGCAAGGTCTTCCTGGAAGGGCCAGATTGTAAGCATTTCAGCTCTGGGGGTCACACGGTCTCTGCATTCCAGCCCCAAAGTACCACAGCTGGTATGCAAACAGGCAAGTCTGTATTCCGATAAACATTTACAAAATCAGGGGCTGGGCTGAATCTGGCCTGCAGACTACAGTTTGCCAATTCATTCTTGAAAAATGAACTCACCTGTTATTAAAAGGATTACCTGGAAAGTGTTTACATGTTTAAAAAGCAAGACAGCTACACAGAATACCTTTTTCCAACCCAGACCTTCTCCTTGATAAGCTGCATAGGTGATTTTAAGCAAGTGAGGGGATTTAAATGTTTTAATTAAGGAATAGGTTCAAATACTTAGTAAAGGAAGTAGAGTTGTACTTTCTGTTTTAAATTTATGTTCAACAGAAATAAACACTTAGGATTCCAAAATGGTGGAGTGAATGGAAACTACACAGACCATCTCCCAGGACCAAACTGAAGTTACAACTAAAATAAAGACAAATCATCGGGAAAAAACAACAGAAAAGAAGCTTGTGAGGATCATATAACCAGAGACACTGACTCGATCATGGTAGGGTTGTGGAAGCACAAGACGGGAGCTGGGAACCCACGGACAGGAGCGGCCTTAGCTGTGAGCTGCGCCCTCAGATTAAACTCCCAAGTGGCTCCACAGCCCAGAGCCTGAACAAACACTAAAATAGCTGCAGCCACTCACCTTGGCTCTGGCAGTGGGAGGGTGGACAGGACTGGAACTGTGTGGGGACACTCGGGATAGGGAGGGCGCTCAGAGCTTTTGCTGAGTTGCAGCCACTCAGAACGGTGGCCATCTTACTCCTTCCCAGGGCTCTGAGGAGAGGCAGTGGCCCCTCCCTAGGAGATTCAACCCCACCCAGGTGGGCCATTGAAATGCAAATTGAGGCTCATTAACAACAAACATCTGCCCCACCCTCGGGAAATTCCCTTACTCTAAGCACCTGAGGAAGTTTTACATTAAACTGAGAGGCCAAGGCTATTCAGGTAATTGCTACTGATAGCTTCCAGGCAAAAACTAGAGGATGACTGAACCAGTCCTGGGCAAGCAACTCTAACCAGGAAAGTTAAGACTTGACAGTGGTGTTTAACGTGGGTCCACCCAGGCTCATCCAAACCCAGGAGAGGGAGCCACAAACAGCACAACACCAACACCCACAGAAAAAATTTGGCAGGTTCCCAAGCCCACTGTGATAGCCAAAATGGTGAAACAAAGAAATAAAAGCCAAACAAAAGAACAAGAGACCTCTACTGAACATGAGATGAATGTGGAAAAATTAAGCAAGTTAACAGAGCTAGAATTCAGAGCCTGATCTTGAGGAAGCGCAACAGAATGAGTAAGGACATCACACCATTAGTAAAGACATAGAAATGTTGAAAATCAACCAACTGGAAATTAAAAACCACCAAGAACAAATTAAGAATGACATATCAAAATAAAGAAAACATTGGAAGGTCTAAACAGCAGAGTAGAGGAAACTGAGGTCCGCATCAGTGAATTAGAAGACAGGGTAGAAAAAATATCAACCAATCAGAAAACCAGAATAAAAAACAAAAAAACAATTTAAAAACAGAAAGACAGCTTTAAAGAACTGTGGGACAACTGGAAACGTACTAATATTCGCCTCATAGGAGTCCCTGAAGAGGAAAAAAATGAGCAAGGGTTAGAGAATATATTTGAAGAAATAGTGAGAAAACTTCCCTAATTTGGTGAAGGAAGAAGGCATTCAAGTTCAAGAAGCACAGAGAGCCCAAAATAAGAAGAACCCAAACAGGCCCACACCAAGACACACAGTAATTAAAATGCCAAAATTCAAGACAAAGAGAGAATCCTAAAAGCAGCAAGAGATAAGCAACAGGTTACCTACAAAGGAAACCCCATAAGGCTCTCAGCTGTTAAAATAGATTTCACAATAAAGGCCATAACGAGAGACAAAGAAGGCCACTACACAATATTGAAAGGATCTATACAACAGGAACATATAACCTTGATAAACATTTGTGCACTCAATATAGGAGCGCCAAAATATATTAAAAATCTTGTGGAGGACTTCCAAGGAGAAATCGACAGCAATACAACCATAGCAGGGGACTTCAACACACCGCTGACATCACTGGACAGATCCTCTAGACAAAAAATTATTAAGGAAACAGAGACTCTAAATGAAGCACTAGACCAAATGGATGTAATAGATATCTACAGAGAATTACACCCCAAAACTAGAGAATTCACATTCTTCTCAAGTGCACATGGGACATTCTCAAAGAGAGACCACGTGTTAGGGCACAAACTAAGTCTCTACAAGTTCAAGAAGACTGAAATCATATCAAGCATCTTCTCAGATCACAATGGCATGAAACTAGAAATCAATTGTAAGAACATACAAAGACATTTGAACACATGGAAGCTACATAGCATGTTATTGAATAATGAATAAGTCACTGAGGGGATCAAGGAAGAAATCAAAAACTTCCTGGAAACCAATGAAAATGAATACACAACAACACAAAATCTATGGGATGCAGCTAAAGCAGTTCTGATAGGGAAGTTCATAGCACCACAGGCCTACCTTAAAAAACAAGAAAAATCTCTAATAGATTATCTAACCTCACAACTTAAAGAACTAGAGAGCAAACAAAAAGAAAACCCCAGAGCAAGTAGAAGGAAGGAAATAGTAAAGATAAGAGCAGAAATAAATGACATAGAGATGAAAAAAACAATTCAAAAGATCAATAAAACAAAGAGCTGGTTTTTTGAAAAGATAAACAAGATCGATGGACCCCTAGCTAGAATCACCAAGAAACAAATAGAGAGAACCCAAAAACACAAAATCAGAAATGAAAGAGGGGAGGTAACAACTGACACCACAGAAATCCAAAAGATCGTTAACAACTACTATGAACAATTATGTGCCAACAAATTTGACAATCTAAGCGAAATGGACAAATTTCTAGAAACACATAGCCTGCCAAAACTGGATCAGGAAGAGATAGAAAACTTAAACAGACCAATAACAACAGAAGAAATTGAAGATGTAATCAAGACTCTTCCAGCAAACAAAAGCCCAGGCCTAGATGGCTTCACGGGGATGTTTTACAGAACATTCAAAGAAGAACTAATACCCATTCTCCTCAAACTATTTCAAAAAATTCAAGAAGAAGGAAGACTTCCAAACTCGTTTAATGAAGCCAGCATAATTCTAATTCCAAAACCAGAAAAAGACACAACAAAGAAAGAAAACTACAGGCCAACATCTCTGATGAACATAGATGCCACAATCCTGAACAAAATACTAGCAAATCACATCCAGCAATACACCAAAAAAATTATCCACCATGACCAAGTGGGATTCATCCCAGGGATGCAAGGCTGGTAGAATATTCGCAAATCAATAAATGTGATACACCACATAAGTAAAATGAAGAATAAAAACCACATGATCGTATCAATAGATGCTGAAAAAGCCTTCGATAAAATCCAGCATCCAATTCTGATCAAAACGCTGAGCAGTGTGGGAATAGAGGGATCATATCTCGACATAACAAAGGCCATATATGAAAGACCTACAGCCAACATCATACTCAATGGGCAAAAACTAAAGCATTTCCCTTAAGAACAGGAACAAGGCAAGGATGCCCACTTTCGCCATTCTTATTTAACATAGTACTGGAAGTCTTAGCCACAGCAATCAGACAGGAAGAAAAAATAAAAGGGATCCAAATTGGAAAGGAGGAAGTGAAATTGTCATTATTTGCAGATGACATGATACTATACATAGAAAACCCCAAAGACTCCATCAAAAGTTTACTACACTTAATAAATGAATTTGGCAAAGTAGCAGGATACAAAATTAACGTCAAGAAATCGATGGCAGTCTTATACACCAATGATGAACTCACAGAAAGAGAAACTGAAGAAACAATCCCATTTACCATCGCGCCAAAAAAATTAAGATACCTAGGAATAAACTTAACCAAAGAAATAAAGGACCTATTTGCAGAAAACTACAGGATATTGAAAAAAGAAATGGAGAAAGATATAAAAAAGTGAAAGCACATACCCTGTTCATGGATTGGGAGAATCAACATCATTAAAATGTCCATATTACCCAAAGCAATCTATAGATTCAACGCGATCCCCATCAAAATACCAACGGCATACTTCATAGAATTAGAACAATTATTTCCAAAGTTCATAAGGAACCAAAAAAGGCCTCGAATAGTCACAGCAATCTTGAAAGGAAG